ATTATTATTATTATTATTATTATTATTATTATAAAAATCTGTTTTTTCTTTCTTTTTCACTTCATTCCTCCTTCACCTTCTCTCCAAAAAAAATTTACATTAGAGATACCACCACAACGTCCTTCCATTCTCACTAGTATCATTACATTCCTAAATAACTAACAATTATCATTCGATTTTTTTTGGAAATTTCTTTCATTCACAACTTTTAATCGTATTTCTTTTACCAACAGTCACATCTACCACTTGAACCACCATAAATCTCTTTTCCCCATTGATGTTAACAAATAGCCATTAAAATACATCAATATACTCTAATATTTATACATAATTTTACATAACACATTTCACCTAATTTCACAAAGACATTCAACAATCACTTTTCATCTTTCAAGATTGTTGAATCTTTATCACTTTATGGGTTATAAATTACCCCAAAAATAAAGGAAAATACAGATCTACAACAACAATACAATTTTGCTTCTATTCCCGGGAGGAAGAAAATGTGAAAAAATGAGAAACAAGAAATTGGAAAGGATCGGAAAGGGGAGAAAGAAGAGAAACGGGGGTTTGAGAGTAGAAAGAAAACAAAGAAATGGGGATGGGTGGGGTGGGAAAAGAAGAAAGAACTGAAAAAAAAGTTAATTTTTGTTGTAAATCATTTTGGTGGTTAAATGGATGACCATAACTCCTTGGTTAATTCCCTTCTTTATGAGTAGTAATGTTGTTGATAATGTGATCAAATGGATGACCATGACTCCTAGGTTAATTTCATCCTTTATTGGTAGTAATGTTGTTGATAATGTGGTCAAATGGATGAGCATAACTCCTAGGTTTATTTCCTCCTTAATGGGTAGTAATTCTCAAGGTTTAATGTAATGTTTATGACACCCTTTGGTATTCCTAAATGTAATCCAATAAATAGTGGTGTTGAGAATAATGTTGAATATGCTTGAAAGAAAGAAAGTGATCTTATATTGTTTCTCTTGTGTTATATTCTTCTTGTCTTCCTTTTTATATTGTTCTTTTGTTCTTAAGTTTCACAACACGTTATCAGCGCGAAGTCTCAAGGTTGAACAACATTTCTTGTGAGGTATCCATTTATAATCTAATGTTAAAATTATTAAATTGTGGCTATACTTTTTCTACTTTACATGTAATTTATAATTGAATGAAAAAAAGGCTAACCATTTATCGATTTTGCGAAGAGAAGATGAAGGTCATTGTTTTGTGAAAAAAATGAATGGACTACAAATTCAAGTGTTTTCTGTTCTCAATGGAAAAAGTGAATTATCTATACTATTGATTATTTTTTAATGAAAAGACTTTATCTAACAATTTTACTAAAAGTTATTTTTGTTATTTGTGAGGCATAATATTAATTTAGATTTTATGCTAATTTTACTTTGATAAAAAAAAGTTTTGCTACTTAATTACTTACTCATTGTCTATTTTACTCTAATTTAATTATTTTCTATGATAGTTTTATCATGTCGAATTTATCAAAGCTTGAGTTCGTGGCACTTGACATTTCTGAAAATAATTACTTGTCATGGGTACTCGATGTTGAAATTCACCTTGACGCTAAAGGTCTTGGTGCCACTATTACCATTGGTAATACAACGTCGAGTCAGGACAAAGCAAAGGCAATGATTTTTCTTCGTCATCATCTGGATGAAGGATTAAAGGTTGAATACCTTACGGTGAAAGATCCACTTGAATTGTGGACTGGTTTGAAGGAAAGGTATGACCACCTTAAGGCAACGGTATTGCCAAGGGCTTGTTATGAATGGATTCACTTGCGATTACAAGATTTTAAAACTATATGTGAATATAATTCTGTTGTATACAAAATTACTTCCCAATTGAAATTATGTGGGGAAGATATAAAAGATGAGGACATGTTGGAAAAGACTCTCACAACTTTTCATGCCTCAAATTTGGTATTACAACAGTAATACCGTCAAAGGGGATTCAAAAAGTATTCTGAGTTGATCTCATGCACTCTTGTGGTTGAGCAACATAATACTCTTTCATTGAAAAACCATGAGGCCCGTCCCACGGGAACTGCTCCGTTACCGAAAGCAAATGAGGTTGAAGCACATGGCCAGTCTTAAAGAAGACAAAATAAAAATCAAGGCCAAAATAATGTGTGTGGACGTGGCAATGGAAGAGGACCATATAATAATCGTCGTAGTGGTGGTCGCCACAAAAGGGAGAACAATATGGGTTCTCAAAACAATCCTTCAAGAGGCAATTGTCATCATTGTGGCATGAAAAGGCATTGGAAGAATGAATGCCGAGCAGCTGAGCATTTTGTTAGGCTTTATCAAGATTCCTTGAAAAGAAAAGGAAATAAAAATGGTGCATCTTCTTCTAATGCTCGGGTGGAGTCACACTTGACTTATAAAAATGATGCCGAGACAGAGCCTTCACAAAAATATGATGACAATATTGAAGCAAATTTGGCTTTAAAAGATGATAATTTTGATGACCTTGATGATATTACTCAGTTGGAAGTTGAAGACTTCTTTGGAGATCAAAACTAATGTTTGATCATTTGATTGGGGAAAATAATTATGTTGTTTTATTTATGTGCTTTTAATTGTTATGTTTTTCCTTATGTTGTTTTTATATTCAGAAAAAAAAGTAATTTTATTTTCTTGCAAAGTTGTTGATTTTTCATATTTCTTATGATGTACTTTTATTTTATAAAGATAAATAAAATTCCTCAATCTTCAATTGGTTCAAGATGAGTAATGGAGATATGTGTCTTCTTGATAGTGCTACAACTCACACTATTTTAAGAAAAAGAAAATATTTCTCTAATTTGATTATGAAAAAGGCTTATGTTAATACAATATCTGGTAGTGTAAAATTAATTGAGGGCTCTGGAAGAGCGACATTACTACTACTTGGGGGAACGATATTATATATTAAAAATGTGTTGTACTGTAGTAAGTCTCAAAGAAACTTATTAAGTTTCAAAGTTATTTGCCAAAATGGCTATCATGTTGAGACTGCCAATGAAGGAAAGGTTGAATACCTATATATTACTACAGTAAAATTGGGGCAAAAATATGTGCATGAAAAATTACCCGCATTTTCTTCTGGATTGTACCATACAAGTATTGGTATGGTTGAATTACATGTCATAGTAAACAAAGGGTTTACTAATCCTAATGATTTTATCATTTGGCATGACCGGTTGGGCCATCCCGATTATAATATGATGCGCAAAATTATTGAGAATTCACATGGGCATACTTTGAAGAATCAGAAAATTCTTCAATCAAAGAAATTCTATTGTGATGCTTGTTCTCAAGGAAAGTTGGTTATTAAACCATCAGTAAGGTTGGGATTGAATCCCCTGCATTTCTGGAACATATACATGATGATATATGTGGGCCAATTCACCCTTCATGTGGGCCATTTAAATATTATATGGTCTTGATAGATGCATCTACAAGATGGTCACATGTGTTCTTATTATCAACTCGCAATATGGCTTTTGCGAGGTTGTTGGCTCAAATAATAAGATTAAAAGCACAATTTCCAGATTATTCAATAAAGACAATTCGTCTTGATAATGTTGGTGAGTTTATATCGCAGGCCTTTAATGATTATTGTTTGTCCTGGGATAACAATTGAACATCCAGTTGATGATGTTCACACTCAAAATGGTCTAGCGGAATCTTTGATTAAGCGTCTACAATTGATAGCTAGACCATTATTAATGAGGACAAAGTTGCCTGTTTCAATATGGGGGTATGCTATTTTGCATGCAGCAGCATTGGTGCGCATAAGACCAACTAGTCATCATGAATTCTCTCCATTACAGTTGGTTTGTGGTCATGAGCCAAATATTCCCATCTTAGAATTTTTAGGTGCGCGGACGTTCCAATTGCCCCACCACTGCACACAAAAATGGGTCCCCAAAGAAGGTTGGGGGTGTATGTTGGGTATTAATCTCCTTCTATTATAAAATATTTGGAACCTATGACAGGAGATATATTTATTGCAAGATTTGCTGACTGTCATTTTGATGAATCAGTTGTAACATCTCACACCTAGAAACGATTATAAAGAGTTTAAATTATGAAAATATTGATTTTCGGAAAGAATAAGGAAATCTGGAAATTTTTGTCTAAGTTAAGAAAGTGAGTTTTAGCCATTTTCAAACGGTCATAACTCCTAGCTCAGGATGAGTTAGGAGCAGATCTTGATATGGTTGGAAAGCCCTTGGAGATATCTTTCCAACGCCGCCAGGTTTGCACGATTTCGACATCATATGAGTGAGATATGCCTTTCGGAGGTTGGGCTGTTGGATTGAGGAAAGTCCCAATCCGGATTTAGGGAAGGGCAAAGTAGTCTTTTCTCTAATTTATTTCCTAATTCGTTTTTAGGGAGTTATTGGGGTAAAAACTTATTTTTGGTCAGATTAGAAAATTAAATTCACGCTTAGGGCTTGGAGAAAAGAGAAAAGAAGAAAGAAAGGGAGAAAAGCCAAGATTTCGCCAAGAACGTCAAGCATTTGGAGTGGAATTCGTCGAGGGTGATCCCTAGAAGGTATGTGAGATCTTTTAGTGATGAGTTAGTTCACCCACACACCAACTTGTTTCAATTCAGCAAATTTAGAGTTGTTTGAATGTTAAGAAAGTGAAGTTCTTGAAGAACATTGTTGGATTCTTGTTGGTTGATTGTTGAATGCTTGTGTTGATTTGATTCGTGGTTCCGGGTTGTTTTTCGAGTTAAATCTATTGAGTATTGAGGGTACTAATGATCCTAAGTGTTTGGGGAAAGAACCATGGAAGTTAGGAGGGTTTAGAGATGAAAAATGGAGAAGAAAAATCGTCAAAAACCTGGGGAAGAGAGTGGGGCGTCGCGCCAGCCAGCGCACCCCAAAAGGGGCTCTGAAATTCACCCTCTGGGGCGACGCGCCAGCCAGCGTGCCCCAGTAACTCCTCTGAAGTTTGAGGGCTGGCGCCCCGCGCCTCTCAGAACGCCAGGGACGCCAGTTCTCCCCATTCGTTCCCCACCTTTTCGTACTTGTTCCTAAGCGATGTACCTATGTTTTCTAGTTGATTCCAACACCCTAAGGCACATTTAAACATCATGAAATCATCCATAAACATGAGATCATGAACCTTGAATCCATAATCCAATTCAAAGAAAGTTAAGATCAAAGTCAAAGAAGTTAAGAGTCAAGTCTAGAAGTTAAGAAGCAAGGCAAAGTAAGGTTTCTTAAAGTTTTCAAGAGTCTTTATTAAACGTTTAAACTTCGTTTTAAGGCTCAAGTTTCAAGTAAAGTAAAGAGTAAATAGTTGAGTTCATTTCTCAAAAGTTATTAGGGAACTAAGTATTCCCAAAGAGTTTATAAATGTTTTCACATTTGAGCAA